ATCCACTCACCTCAGCCTCCCAAAGGCGCGAGATTACAGACTGAGCCACCAAGCCCGGCTTATCTGAAATTTTTGATAGACATAAGAGCATAGTGGAGCTGGGTATGGTGGCACATACCTGTAGTCCCAGATACTCAGGAAGCTGAGGTAGGAAGATTGCGTGAGCCCAGAAGTTAGAGAGACCACCCTAGGCAACGAAGCAAGACCTCATCTTTGCAGAGTGGGGGAGTGAAGCGGGAAGACATAAAAACCAGGGAGAATGGGGTGGGAGGAGGCATCATACAGAGGTGGCAAGAATTACAGGCCTACCTGAAAGTAAGGGAAGGATGATGAAGTCTGCAATTAGAAAGGTCTAGGTTCGCGACCCGCCTGGGCAACTTGGCGAGACCTCATCTCTACAATAAATCAAAAAAATTAGCCGTGCATGGTAGCGCATGCCTGTAATTCCAGCTTCTTGGAAGGCTGAGGTGGAAGGATCACCGGAGCACAGCAGGTTGAGGCTGCGGTGGCCAGGAGCGGCCACTGCACTTCAGTCTGGGTGACAGAGTGAGACTCCAACTCAAAAAAAAAAAAAGGTCTAGGGATATGAAAGGCCATGATGGTAAAAGAAAAAAAGCTATTCTCTTTTTTAAAGCCTTTTCCTTTCACTAAATCATCTGGATCCTTGCGATCCCAGCATCCCTTCTTGCCTGGATAACTTCTGCTTCTAGCAGGCCTCCATATAGCCCAGTCCATCCTATCTTCCTCCAGCCCAAGCCCCTCAGGTATGATCTTAACAATGCAAGTCTGATCATGTCACACCCCAGCCTAAAAATCACCATGGTCCCCTAAGTCCAAGTGCTTTATAAAGATTGAAATGACTGCCACTCCCTAAGTCTCATGTCTCCTCTCCCTTCTTGCATGCCACATTTCAGCCATACTACTCCTGAAAGTTCTCTTCCATACTCTCTCATTGCAGAAATATACACATGCTTTCCCTCTACCTAGAGCTCTCCTCCACTTTGTCCCTCACTCGCCACCCCCACCTGCACCTAGGACTCTTGTTCACTCTCAGGCTACACCTGGAAAGCCTTTCCTGACTCCCTTGGAGAAGGAGGAGGAGGAAAAGGAGGAAGGCTTCATGCTCTCCGTGTGCCTGTGGTTCCCAGTTAACTGTTTGTCTTCCTCAATCTAGCATGACCACAGTGAGGCAAATGACTTTGGCTGTCTTGTTCATCTCCATACGCTCTGTACCTCCGGGCAGAGTACTTACATACAGTAGGTGCAAAATGTCTTGAACAGTTGAATCTACATTATCATTTTGTAGATATGGCAACCAAAGGAAAGAAGATAGTTGGTGGCTCAGCCTGTAATCCCGCGCCTTTGGGAGGTTGAGGTGAATGGATTGCCTGAGCCCGCGGGTTTGAGACCCGCCTGGGCAGCGAGACCTCATCTCTACAATAAATCAAAATATCAGCCGGGCGTGGTAGCGCATGCCTGTAATTCCAGCTACTCGGAAGGCTGAGGTGGAAAGACCGCGGGAGCCCAGCAGGCAAGGCTGCGGTGGCCGGGAGCGGCCACTGCACTCCAGTCTGGGTGATCGAGTGAGACTCCAACTCAAAAAAAAAAAAAAGAAGGTAGTTGACCCATTCACCATGACAAGATAAGTTATTTGAATTTTTATTTTTCTGTATTTCATCCTTTAGCCAACGAATCTCTCTGGTCATCATGCACAGCACTCCAGGGTCTAGCGGGGAGGTGGGTTGATGGAGTGTACTCAGTCAGAAGACAGGTCCAGCTCTGGCCCTGGCTCTGTCATGACACACAATACAGAGTAGAACAAGCCTGGATGCCGGAGTCAGACAACAGAGTTCCCCGCTCGCCCTGGTTCTGCTGCTTGGGAACTAATTACTTCACCTCTCTGAACTCCACATGATATTTTTTTAATCTGTCAGGTGAGAATAACAGCATCTCCCTCCCAGGGAGGCAAGGACCATAGGCAGCCCATTAGCTCGGGGAGGCAGGGCCATGTCTGCCTTGTGGCCACCCTGAGCAAGCACAGTGCCGGGCACAGGAACAATTCGCCTCACTCTGCTTCTCTACACCTGGTCACTGAGGCTGTGTCTAGGAAATGCCGTGGACTAGCAGCCGTCTCTGGGCTCAGGGTCAGTTCCTCTGGAGGCTGAGAGGGGTCTGGCTGGCCAGATGTAGTCTGAAAGGCAGCACAGAAGAAGAAAACTTTTAAGATTGAATTCCATGCTCATTCTTCAGTGACTTTGCATATGTACATCTTAGAAACTGAAGTTGCTTCAAAACAGCTCTAAGACAGAGTCAAGGGCCTGGAAGAAGAGGAGATGTTGCTCTCAGGAGGGCTTAGCTACAGCTCAGGCTCTTGGTCAGTGAAGGACAGGGCCATGGGCCATCGATGCCTTTCTTTCCTTACAGGTACTCTGATGGCCGCCACAGCTCTTCCCTCCTCAGGGCCGTGGCCCAGCTGCGGTCCCAGCTCTGGGCCCACCTCCCTCGAGCTCCCCCAGCTCCCAGACGGAGCCTTTCTGCCTGGTGCTGGGTTGGGGGAGCCCTGCTAGGCCCTGTGGTGCTGAGTAAGCATCCCCGTCTCTGCCTTGTGGCACTATGTGAGGCAGAAGAGGCCCCTTCTACCTGCTCCACACCCAGTGTCGTGGAGTCTCGTTTTAACTGGAAGCTCTTCTGGCAGTTTCTGCACCCCCATCTGCTGCTTCTGGGTGTAGCTATTGTGGTGAGGCTCTCCCCGCTTCTCCATACTGGGGACAGGGAAGGACCCAGAAAGGGGTCTACAGAAAACCTGAGCCAGAGCTGTCCAGAGACAGCATTCCTACCTTGCTGCGCCTCAGAGGAGACCTTGTAGCAGCAGCAAGGGCTGGCCTGGGGGTTCAGAGGGACACCAGGAGAATCTGTACAGGGTGGCCATGTTTGTGGGGTACAGGGGTCTGTGGGGGCCGGAAGCCAGCGTTTTAACTCTGAGAGCCACTGGTGTGTCTGCACGACCAGCAACAGCATGGACAAGAATAAGGCTCAGTAGTGGGAGAGAAAGAGCCAAGGTCAGAGCTGGGGATGGGGAAGAGTATGGCTCCCCCTCTCTAATTATCTGTCCCCTCTGCTTGCCCCTCTCAGCTGGCCTTGGGTGCAGCCCTGGTGAATGTACAGATCCCCCTGCTCCTGGGCCAGCTGGTAGAGATCGTGGCTAAGTACACGAGGGACCATGTGGGCAGCTTCATGAACGAGTCCCGGAATCTCAGCACCCGCCTGCTCATCCTCTATGGCATCCAGGTACAGCAGGGAGAGAGCTGGGGGCCTCTGAGGAGCCTCTCCAGGGCATCCCTGAGTGCACCGTCCTCTTTCACAGGGACTTCTGACCTTTGGGTACCTTGTGCTGCTGTCCCACATTGGTGAGCGCATGGCTGTGGACATGCGGAAAGCCCTCTTCAACTCCCTGCTCCGGTACTGCCAGCTACAGGGTCAGAGTGGGGGTGACTGTGGGGCCCCGTTGGGGCATGGTGGTGTGAGGCCTCATCCTGAAAAAATGTCTCCCTCTTCCCCCTACCCTGCTGCCTCCATGTCCCACCTCCAGACAAGACATTGCTTTCTTTGATGCAAAAAGGACAGGACAGCTGGTGAGCCGATTGACAACCGATGTGCAGGAGTTTAAATCATCCTTCAAGCTTGTCATCTCCCAGGTCAGTGGCCTCAGCGCACACGCCCGCTCTCTCTCTCTCTCTCTCTCTCTCTCTCTCTCTCTCTCTCTCTCTCTCTCCCCCTCTCTCCCCCTCTCTCCCCCCCTCCCTTTCTCTCTCTCCCTCCCCACCCCCCATGCACACTCACCAGGCCAGCCTTGCCATGCCCCAGCCCAGATGATGGGCTAATAACCGAGGTTCATGCAAACACAAAAAGCCCACCCACTAGGGTGTTGGTGCAGGAACATGGAAGTTCATGGAAGGTAGGTGCTGAGGCAATGTCCAAGGTCAGGACAAGCTGCTTCTCCATTGCTCTGAAACCCTATCTCCCCTGGAAAGCCCTCCCAAGGACTCAAACAAGAGCCTTCCCTGGCAAGAGCAAAATCACTTGACCTGTCTTGTCCCCAGAGTGCCTGGATCACTGACAAGCACTGAGCATGCACAATATCTCTTTACCAAATGCTGATGTCCTCCCCAACCCACCCCCACCATAGCTGTGGCCACTGGATTGTGACACTGGCCTGTAACAGTCACTGGTAGTATTGGCATGCATTCTCTTCGTTCAGTTCTTAGAACAGAAAGAAAAGTAAACTGGGGTTTGTCTAGGGGAAGGATGCCGTGGCTCAGAGACATTCTCACTTCATTCCCCTTCATGCCTGCTGCGTGTACCCCAGCTGGTCAAGAAAAGGTTATGTTCTGTGACTATTGGACTGCCACTTGGCTCCCAGGGGAGGCATTGACCTTGTAAGTACAGAGCTATCACTAGATGACCCTTGCTAAAGTCCCTCATGTCATAGCCTCCTGCCTTCTTTCCCACTTGCCAGGGGCTGCGAAGCTGCACCCAGGTGGCTGGCTGTCTGGTGTCCCTGTCAATGTTGTCCACACGCCTCACTCTGCTGCTGATGGTGGCCACACCTGCCCTGATGGGAGTTGGCACCATGATGGGCTCAGGTCTCCGAAAATTGTCTCGCCATTGTCAGGAACAGGTACCAGCATTTCTGGCCACCCTCCTCCCTCTCCCCCCCCCCACACCCACTGTTTCTCTCCTCAGCATTCCTCCCAGTCTCCAACCTGGCTCCCTGTTTCCTGGACTCCTTGCAGGTTGCCAAGGCAACAGGTGTGGCAGATGAGGCCCTGGGCAACGTTCGGACAGTGCGAGCCTTCGCCATGGAGCAACGGGAAGAGGAGTAAGTCCTGGGGGTGTGGAGCTCAAAGCAGAGACATCCCCCACACCTCACCCACCCTGCAGGCCAGCTCAGCTGCCTCCTGAGCACGGGCCAGCCTCTCTCACCAGGCCTTTCTTACCAGGCACTATGGGGCCGAACTGGAGGAGTGCCGCTGCAGGGCAGAGGAGCTGGGTCGGGGCATTGCTCTGTTCCAAGGGCTTTCCAACATCGCCTTCAACTGTGAGTGAGCAAGTCCTGGGAGCTGGGGGCTGTTCGTGGCAGGCTGAGAGGAGTGAAGACAGGTGAGGGGCTCTCCCCATTTGCTTGGTGCTCCACAGATGGTTACTGAATACCTGTAACCAGCTGACTCATGCAGGTAAGGGGAGGGTGGTGGCCCTGTCCAAGCTGTGGAGCTATGTATATTGAGCTTTAGGGCCACCTGCAAGGAAGCTATGGAGGTGTGCCTGCCCCTACTCGCTTTTCCAGTGAAGAAACCAAGGATGGGACCATTCATGTGACTTGCCTGAATCTTCCAGTCAGCAGTGGCAGAGCAGGGCCAGGGCTCTCTCCTTTGCTCCAGTCACTTTCACTCTATAACCTGTCCCCTTCCCATGCAGGCATGGTCCTGGGCACTCTGTTTATTGGGGGCTCCCTTGTGGCCGGGCAGCAGCTGACAGGGGGAGACCTCATGTCCTTCCTGGTGGCCTCCCAGACTGTGCAGAGGTGAGTGGGGTCCATTTCTATTTCTCTGGAGCCCCCTGTCACTCTCTAGAGTCCTGCTGTGTCAGAGGACAGGGATACCCCTGTCACTCTCTAGAGTCCTGCTGTGTCAGAGGACAGGGATACCTGCCTGCTTTGAGGGGAGATGGTGTGCAACCCCAGCCCTGCCCAGCCACCTCAGGAAAGTGTAGGCCTAGGGAGAAAGAGGAGAGAATCGCCATGCCTTCCATGAGGGCACCCCAAGCCTCATAACAACCCTTCAGGCTGGGGCATTATCTACACACTCAGGAATGTACTTATCATCTTCAGCCTTCCGAAGGACTTGGAAATGTCCCTAATAAACTTTTTTTTTTCTTTTCGTTTTTAATTGTGGTAAAACATACATAACATAAATTTACCCTTTTTTTTGAATCGTAGTCCCACTCTGTCACCCAGGCTGGAGTGCAGTGGCACACTCATGACCACTGCAGCCTAGACCTATGTACTGGGCTCAGGCAATCCTTCCACCTCAGCCTTCCAAGTAACTGGATCTACAGGCATGCGCCACCATGCCCAGCTAATTTTTTTTTAAATTTACTGTAGAGATGAGGTCTCACCAAGTTGCCCAACCTGATCCCAAATCCCTGGGCTCAGGCAATCCTTTCTCCTCTGCCTCCCAAAGTGCTGGGATTATAGGCATGAGCCACTACGCCCGGCATAAATTTACCATTTTAGCCAGTTTTAAGTGCAGTTCAGTGGCATTAAATATATTCACATTGTTGTACAACCATCACTATCATCCATCCACAGAATTGTTTTCATCTTGCAAAATTGAAATTCTGTCCCAGTCGGGCATAGTGGCTCAGACCTGTAATCCCAGCACTTTGGGAGGCAGAGGCAAGATTTCCTGAGCCCACAGGTTCCAGATCAGCCTGGTCAACTTGGCGAGACCTCATCTCTACAATAAATCAAAAAAATTAGCTGGGCATAGTGGCGCACGCCTGTGGTCCCAGTTACTTGGAAGGCTGAGGTAGAAGGATCACCTGAGCCCAGCAGGTCAAGGCTGTGGCAGCTGTGAGCATGCCACTGCACTCTAGTCTGAGCAAAAGAGTGAGACTCCAACTCAAAAAAAAGAAACTCTGTCCCCATTAACACTAACTCCCCATTCTCCTCCCCGCCACCCCCTAGTACCCACCAGTCTACTTTCTATCTTTCTGAATTTGACAGCTCTAGAGACTTCCTTTAAGTAGAATCATACAGTCATTGTTCCTTTGGGACTACATTTTACCACTTAGCAGTGTCCTCAAGGTTTCTCCATGTTGTAGCATGTGTCAGAATTCCCTTCTTTTATAAGGCTGAATAGCATTCTATGTATGTATAGAGCATCCTTGACAGTTGTGAGAACTAGCCTCCCCTCCTCTGCCTGACGAGAAGCTGATCCCTACCCCTGCAAATCCCACCCTTCTAGCATACTGCTTTTCACTGGACTGAACCAGAGCTGATGGACTGACTTCACCACCAACAGCCTACGGTGGGCCTCCCTGTCCCTTCTCTTTCCAAGCTAAACACCAGCAATGCTTACTGCTGTTTTTCACTTTGCTTTCCCACACACCCACCAAGTGTATAAAAGTACATAAAACATAAGTACATGTTATGGTAAATAATTAAAGAGTAAATATGTGTAATAAATAATTAAAGACAAGTTGCCATCAACCATGTCAAGAAAATAAAGCATCGCCCCAACCCCTCCCCCATTAGTCAGTCCCATCCCGTGTCCCCCCACCCCCTGAAGTCACCACTCCTGTTGTAATGGGACACATGTCAATGAGCTGCTTCATAGCGTTCCACCTGTGTGTGTGTCACCTGTTTCTTATGGAACCTCTCAGTCAAGCCTATTGTCCCGTGTAGACTGAGGCTGACCAAGAGATGGCAGGCAGGACAGATTCCTATTCTCAGCCCCAAACCTGGCATTCCACAAAGACCACCTCCCACCCATTTCTGCAGCTGCATGAAACCCTCCTTGGCCCCATTTTGCTCAATACTTTCTGACCTGGGCACATTCAGACACTCTCTAGTCCTAAGCTGAAGCCTCCTGGACAGCCTCATCCCTACTTCTGCCCAGGAACTGTTTCCCTGGTGGCTTTGGGATTAAGAGGTTCTCATTGTGGTAGAGATGGGGCTTTAGGCTTTTCCTTCTGCCACCTGTCCCTAATTGCTGAACCAGTTCCCTCAACCAGAATGAGCTTTGGCCTCTGAGCAGGAGGATTATTTTAGGCCTGAGAACCCATAAGAAACCCATGGTTTAGCCAGGCTCAGTGGCTCAGCCTGCAATCCCAGTGCTTTGGAAGGCTGAGGTGAGTGGATTGCCTGAGCCCGCGGGTTCGAGACCCGCCTGGGCAACTTGGCGAGACCTCATCTCTACAATAAATCAAAAAATTAGCTGGGCATGGTAGCGCGTGCTTGTAGTTCCAGCTACTTGTAAGGCTGAGGTGGAAGGATTGCCGGATTCCAGCAGGTTGAGGCTGCAGTGGCCGGGAGCGGCCACTGCACTCCAGTCTGGGTGACAGAGTGAGACTCCAACTCAAAAAAAACAAAGAAACCCACTGGCTCCCTTAAAATTACCTTCAAGCCTCCAGGGTGGGCAGTTGTGGGACGGCCTCCCTATGGGAAGGGCAGCTGCACTATCCAGCCCTGGCCCTCCTTCTTCCGGGTCTGTATTTTCCCTCTGTGACCTGAGTACAGACTCCCTTACCTGCCACTGTACTGCTTAACCATCTAACAATTTTGTTACACACAAGAACCCCCCCAGGGAGTATCTGTACTGTCTGTCTCGCCAGCAGCTTCTACAGCCATAGACCCTAAGCCCATCCTTTTGAGGGTTCTTCTAGCCCTATCCATGTGGAGATTCTTCACCACCCACCTTGAAGGAATCCTGCTGGTTAAGCCAAGGGTCTGTGCATCAGCTCTGGGGTCCAGCAGAGGGGACGCAGAGCGAGTAGGAACAGGACGGCTCTGCCTTGCGTCAGGCAGCCCAACTTGTGGACCCATCCTAAGTGTTCTTGATAGAGGTGGGGAGGTGCCCAGAGACCGAAGTTGGGCCAAGCCTCTTCACAAGATCCGGGGCTGAACCCCACCTGGGAACGGGCCAGGGCCTTCAGCCTGCAGCCTCTCTGAGAGCAGGGTCATCATGCACCAATGAGTCATGTGCGTTTTGGATTTCAGCTGCTGCCCATCCCCTTTGCCAGGCCCTAATGGCTTACAGATCTCTCGTGGAGAATGTTCCCCTTTCTCATCAACAGATAATTCTCTAGGCTGGCTCTTTCCTGCTCAACTCCTCCCAACTCCCTTTGGCAAGTGCTGATTGCATTGAGCCTGCCAGATCCATTTCCTTGTGGGTTTTGGGGCTCCTCCCACCCACTCCCACCTTGGTGCTGGAAGAAGTGAGTCCTGGGCTGAAGGATTGCTGGGAGTCAGTCTTTCCTCTTCCTAAAGAAAGGACCCAGCATACACAATGGCAGACACACACTGTCACGGGTCAACTAGGCCAGTCAGGGTCCAGTGACTAAGAAGCGATTGACACATCTTCCTCTTCCAGCCCTGCCGAGACAAAGGAGGCCATCCACTGTCTAGACAGATAAACATACACACACCCCATCTTGTGCACTGTCCACACCTACAAACCCACAATATAAGTGATTTTTAAGTGTATATATATATATTTTTTTTTTTTTTTTTTTTTTTTTTTTTTTTGAGTCAGAGTCTCTGTCTCCCGGGCTGGAGTGCAATAGCATGATTACAGCTACTGCAGCCTTGACTTGCTGGGCTCAGGCAATCTTTCTGCCTCAGACTTTCAAGTAGCCGGGACTGCAGGCACGTGCCACCATGCCTAGCTATTTTTTTTTCAGTTGGAGTCTCACTCAGTCACCCAGGCTGGAGTACAGTGGCCTGTTCACAACCACTGCAGCCTCGACCTGCTGGGCTCAGGTGTTGGGCTCCTTCCACCTCAGCCTTCCAAGTAGTTGGAACCACAGGCCTGCACCACCACGCCCAGCTAATTTTTTGATTTATTGTAAAGACGAGGTCTCACTGTGTTGCCCAGACTGGTTTAGAACTCCTGGGCTCAGGCAATCTTCTCGCCTCCACCTCCCAAAGTGCTGGGATTGCAGGTGTGAGCCACCATGCCCAGCTTATTTTTTAGTCAGTCTCATTCTTGCCCAGGCTGGAGTGCAGTGGCATGATCATACTTACCACAACCTCAACCTGCTGGGCTTAGGCAATCCTCCCACCTCAGCTTTCTGAATAGCTGGAATTACAGGTGTGCATCACCATACCCAGCTAATTTTCTTTTTTTTTTTTTTTTGAGTT